TGTTTTAGGGTATTTATAGGCGTCATTTAGCGACCGAGTATTGATAGATCCAGTGAGTTGCCTGTCTACTTCAATTGAAAAGAATTAGTGAGGGGAAAGTATCTAATACAACTACAAGGTAGGGAAATAAGGCGATTCAGTCTATATATGTAGAGAGCCTATGATGTCTGTGTGGGACGTGGATGTGTTCGTTTGCACCAGATCTATGCAGGTGAGGGGTTGACTAATGAGTCTTGTAAACGTATGTAATTTGTCTGCCATGCGTACTTCAGAAGGCAGACTGTTCCATATCAATGCGTACTTGATAAGGAAGAAGTTTTCACGTGTTTTTGATCTGTGTTTTTCAATTTTGACAGTGGATACTTTGTCTCGAAGGTTGTATCCATATGAGTCTTGGTAGAGAGCTATATTACATGTGGAATAAGTAGGGTTTTTAAGGAGTTTGAAATAAAGAATTAAGTTAGACCTAAGCCTTCTTTTCCAGAGGGGTTCTAGTCCTAAGATATGACATCTGGATTTGTAGTCAGTGAGTTGGTCATTCTTAAGTATTTTGCGAGTGAAGTCTCGCTGTATTCCTTCCACCTTAAGTATATCAGATAGGCGTAGGTTGGAAAATAAGAACGAGCAGTATTCGACGATGGGTCTTACGCAGGTTTTATACAGGATGATGTTAGTTTCCTTTTGAAAGAAATTACGAAGGATGAAGCCAAGCAATCTCCGCGTTTGAGATGCTTTAGTTGAAATATGTTCAGAGAAGTTAAGACTGTCGGAGTAATGTACCCCAAGGTCAGTTACTGATGTCAGTCTGAGCAGTGGGTTTTTGTTAAGTGCTAGTTTTAGTTTAAGTGACGTGTTACCAATACATAGCCAACCGCATTTCTCTGTGTTGAGCTCTAGCCCCCAGCGTTTGCACCAGTCGTCTACTTTGTTGAGTTCATGTTGGATCGTTTGCATAGTACTTCGTACATCACCAATGTCAGTTTTATAGATGACTCTTAAGTCATCAGCGTAAAGGTAGGTCTTACCTGTAGTAAAGCACTTGCATATATTGTTGATATAAATTGGTTGATGCAGGTATTCATTCACTACCTTATTTTGCATGGAGATCACACTTCCTATTATTTCATATTGAATGTTGAAAAGCTTTGTTTGTTTGAGAAGGTAATCCTGCGCTCCACCACCACTCTACTTGATTTCAAAACAGAAACTTATCCACTAAAAGTCTGGTTTCTTCTATCTATTATTACATAAGCTTTCTCCTAGAATCGACTTCTTCAACAATGTCGGTTCGATCAACTTACTGAACATGAACATTTCAGTCCTGTATACAATGTACGTATTCAATCTGCCTGAGTTGTTAGTATATAAGGCCCCACAAATGCTTAAAGAAGTCCGAATCATACCCTTCTTCATCAGGCAATCCCGGAAAATGTTGCTTTCCAACGACTCGAAGGCTGTTTCTGCGCAGAGTTGAGTGCAAAACAGTAGGTGGAAATTTATTTGTTCCCTGTCATCTGGTTAAAAACAATCTCAGAATCGACAATAAGGTGTAAATAATTTTTAATGTCTAGTCAATAGTTAGATGCAAATGCATTCAGTGGGCACTAGCTAACCTTACTTAGCCAGTAATTTAGTGTGGATACAATTTAAATAATTATTGAACAAACTGACTTAGCTAGGAGATGCGGCCTATCACTAGATTTATTCTAGACTCTGGAATAATCTACCACAATCCGTCCGTACGATAAAATCTCTCCCATTGTTTGTTCGCTGCATTGATGAATACTGCTCCTCTGAAAATGCGTTAAATGTTCTTGTGCCTGTAGGCGTATCTTACTCCAAAAGTGAGATTAGAGGAACCTTAAATGTCCAACCACTTATCTGCTGTCACTTTACATTAACAATGTCCCTATCAACCTTACGTTATTTGAGTAATAACTAACAAGAATAGTGGTCAACCTGACTGACGTATTTTGGAAATCATTGCTTTGTTGTTGTGCTCTCTGTTTTAATTTTACTTTCTCTGGTTGTATATAATTATCAATCATTCGTCCTGGCACTGGAAATAACCTTAAAGAACACCGTTCATAAATCATCAGGCTATCCTTTTAAGAAGACATTAAAAGCGCCCTGCTGATGCATTGGGTTACCATGATACATGTCATAAACAAACTACTTAACAATTACTGAACTAGCAAACTTAAAACAATCTTATATCACATGTTTGTTCTCTACATCAAATGTTGCTATTTATACCAAATTGATCATGCCTGTAAACTGGTGTGAATTCTGTAATTATTATTATTTTCAGAATATATATATGTATATGATATTATATTATTTAGTTCTCAGGGATACCTCTTGAGACCAGCTTACAGTTTTTGTTTCGTTCACCACTAATCATGCTCGACACTAAGGAATCATGTTATGCTAATGCATAACTTTCTGAATGTCATATTTTTATAAATTTTGAGTAATTAGTCGATCATTATGAAACAGAACAATATCAGTTTATCCGACCAGTTGCAGAATTAGATCATATTAAAAGAGTTCAGTTAATCATAAAGATGCCACAGGCATTCGGAGTTTAACAACGCCTTTACACGTAACACTTTTATAATCGAAGTATATGAACCAAGTCAAATCAGAGGTGAAGAGGTTCAAAGATATATTTCAAAGAAGCGTTTAACCTAATTCATTTAACATTTGTAAGAGGTGTGTAGCATAGAATCCCAAATCTTTACGAAGCTGAAAAAGCTACGGGAAATCTGAAGCGAGGGAGAGCAACGGGCCCTGACAGGTATGCCTCTGAGATTTTTGAGGATGGCAGTCCAGTATTCGCAGCAATATTGACCGACGTCAGGTAGAATCTGGGAACTGGACGTAATTCCATCTGACTGGTCCCAATCACTGATTGTGCCAGTCTATAAGAAAGGACAAAAGTCCTCTTGTGACAATCACAGAGGGATCAGTTTGACTAATATAGTGCCTAAAATATTAGCTTCAATAATACTTGGACGCCTAACCAAAGCTCGTGAAAAGCAGACTAGAGAAAACCAGGCTGGTTTTCGACCTGGACGTGGTTGTATAGAACAGATATTCACTCTACGTCAGGTCCTAGAACATGGACATACATTCAAACGCCTCACAATCGTAGTGTTTCTCGATCTTAAAAGGCGGCATTCGACTCTGTTGGTCGTGAGGTTCTATGACAGTGTTTGTCACTGAAAGGAGTACCGAAGACGTACATCAACCTTATACAGGTTCTCTACTTAAACACAACTGATCGAGTTAGAGCCTATGGCGAACTGTCACAAGAATTGATTACCTTAAGTGGTGTTCGTCAGGGCTGGCCACTTTCTTCATTCTTGTTTAACTTTGTCATTGACATACTTTTAGAAATAGCACTTTCATCAGCTAAACCTCCAGGAGTTGAACTTTTACCGGGAGACTCACTTGTTGACTTGTAATACGCCGATGACATAGTTCCATTTGGTAAAGACGCTGACAAAATGCAGAGTCTTCTGACCACAGTAAGCAACAATGCAGGTATGTTCGGGATGCGTTATCCCCCTCGAAATGCGAAATGTTCTCTCAGGATTGGGTTGCATCGACACCTGAACCAATGATAGGGATTGAAGTAGTTGAGCATATCGACCGCTTCACTTATCTTCGGAGTCTCATCAGTCCTTTTGGTCTGGTGTGTGACGAGATCTCAGAAGGGATACAGAAGGCTCGTCTATCATTTGCCAAGTTGCGTCATTTATGCAGTAGGCGAGAGATCAGTCTACCAGCCAAAAGACGGGTTTACTGTGCAGCGGTTCGCCCCATCCTATTTATGGCAGTGAAACATGGCCAATAAGAGTAGAGGACATTCGTACGCTACTGGTATTCGATCATAGGCGTTTTCGAAGCATTGCTCGTGTATCCTGGGACCATCGAGTAAGTAATGCAGTTGTTAGGAAACGGGTAGTAGGTAAGGATGGCAAATCGATTGATGAAGTAGTGAAACTTCATCAGTTGAGATGGCTTGAACACGTGTTACGTATGCCCAACCACCGACTGCCCTGACGTGCAATGCTTTATGGTGTAGGAGTAGGTTGGAAGAAAGCTAAGGGCGGCCAAACCAGAATGTGGCACAAATCTATAAAGTCACTGACAAGTAGACTGAGCCATGTTGGTAGGTGTAGACTACTTGGTTGGGATCCGCGAAATGATAACAATCGATGGTTAGAGACCTTGAATGACATGGCTCAAAATCGTTTGCAATGGCGAAGGTACATTCACTCTTCGTGTTCTCCAAAATCCTGATCTTCTGAATCCTTCATGTCCCTTTCTTTTTTCTCTTTCCAAATTTATTTCACTGGATTATACCCCTTGAACAACATCTTCAAACCCTAATCTTTCGGATTACTGCTTTACTCTTACTACCTCTACTGCTATGGGATTTGAGTCGACAACTGTATCTCTGTACTAATGTGGTATGGCAACTTGAACTGATGTACGTACGTACGTACGAAGTTCAACGTCGTCACTATCTGTCTGTTAGCACAGGTTACCTACTAGTGAACTGATGCGGATGCGTGGACAAGCAAGGTAAGTTCAGTGAAATCAATGGGGTCAGTATCAAATGTCGAAGACTTTCAGAATTCTTGATTTTAAGGATTCACTTACCTCTACTACTAGGTGGAAAATTGAAGAGATAAGTGTCACTAGTAAGCAGTGGAATTGCAAAAGCTGTAAAAAAGTGTTAGATATCTTGATAGTTTTAGAAGGCTGGAGTTAAGTGCATAAACCTGGTTATGTATCTTGTGTCTTCCGATTAAAATAGATATTTAGGGGAGAATATATAACTTTTTGAGACATTAGAATTGTCGCATGAAACTATAAACATGACTTACAGTCACTTCAGAACATATCACTTGAAAGAATCACTTGAATTTATGTTTGAAGTAAGCAGCGTTTTTATGTGTTAAATTCCTGGAAGTGTTTTGGATATTGAACGAACACTTAGCTTTCAGCGGGAAATGTTATGTGGTCGATCATCGGACGTTTCTGAAACAAAAGGAAGTGTTTTGGGTATGTTAGTAGTTCTGTGTCACTAATCATGTCTACCATAGACAAAAACGATGTTGCTAAAGACAGTGCATCAAATGAGACTGGACAGCGCGATTGGGACGTGAAATCCAGGACTCAGGAGGAAGACGAACTGTTAGGTAGATCAGATGAAAATCACGACTTGTCATATGAAACCCATTCGAACGAGACTGGCAGTTTTAGCGAGTTCCACACTGCAGTCGAGTGCCTTAACGATTCGGAAGAAGGGAGTGGTGACTTTTCCATCAACACGAAAAAAAACAACTTCGTCAAAATCTCTACCGTTACATCAGAGGATGTCGATCCTTTTGAGGATGTCACTGCTGCCACCAATGAAATAACCGACAAAAAAGCAATTTCGCCGATTGAATGGGACAGAGTTTCTGATGAAGAAAGCGAGAACAGAGACGAACTTCATGTCGATGCCCCAGGTGATGAGTTTTCTAAAGAGGAAGAAGCCCAAAACTCAGTTCGGCCCTCCAGTGTCAGAGGGCATACGTGCACAAGTGAGAGAGAAAATTACATTGATTCGCGCCTTTTTCGTTCTACAAAGTATTTCCTCATCAAAAGTAATAATTTTGAAAATATCGAAATAGCGAAGTCTCGCAATGTATGGGCGACGACAAAGGGCAATGAGACAAGACTGAATAAAGCATTTTTTGACTACAACAATGTTTTGCTCATATTTTCTGTACGTGAGAGTGGTAGATTCCAAGGATTCGCTCGCATTATCGCCTCCTCAGATCCTCGAATCAAGGTTGACTGGGTGTTTTCTTCACGCATGAATACTGGTCTTCTGAGTAATCCTTTTCGAATTAAGTGGATATCCAAGTTTGTTGATCATTTCAGTTGTTTTGATTACTAGGTCTGATCTCCCTTTCACAAAGACCGGACATCTCTTGAATGCATGGAATGAAGACAAACCTGTGAAAATCGGGAGAGATGGTCAGGTGAGTATTTTGAATATCAACTCATTTATTTTAGGAAATTGAACCTACATGTGGCGAGGCACTATGTCGGTTGTTCAATAAGGACGAACTTGGGGAAGAACAAAAACAACTAAACATAGTTCAAGCTATTGGTGAAAGAATCAGTCGTAGAAATGCATTTGAGAGACTTGGAAAAATTGTTGGTCGCCATGGTCAAACGAGTCATAATGGTTCTCGTGTTGTTGGGTTAAACAATCAAGACAACACTGGACTGTTGGGGGATGCTACTGGAACAAACCAACGATATATGGCACCTACTGAACGAAGGAGCTTGGTGAATTACCCTCCTATAACACCTTTAATCAACACAGATGGTTCGCGGCTAACCTCGACGGGAACTACACCGCTATTGCAAGTAAACGCAGCTGCCGCTGCTATGGCTGCAGCTGCAGCTATGGCTGCAATCAAATCGTCCGGACCACAGTCAATAGGTGCTTTTGCCCGAAGTGGAGCAAGCACTCTCAATCCCACAATTAATTCCAGACTGCCTATACAACCACCTACATTCCCTCACATATTTTCAACCTTCCCGAATTCAGGTGGTTCTTTCTCACGTTTGAATGTATCTAGTTCCTCTAACGCAACTCTGCTTCCGTTGTTACAACAACAGCAACTTCGTATATCTGGATCAGCAGCAAATGCCGCCGCAGGTGCTGTTCTTTCACAAGCTATACAACAAGCTCGTAGTCTATCCAATCCTAATATGATAAGTCGATCAGGAATGCCTGTCAATCCTGTGTCAAACAGTGTGCCTGTAAAATCTCATGCCGAAAGAAGTCGTTCGCGCTCTGCTAGCGACAGCACAGCTTACAGTTATGCTCGGGAACGTAATCCAAGGCATCGGAGAACTGACGGTTATGTAGAAGAAGAGTCTCCACGATTTGAAACAATTCGACGGAAGTCACATTCCCCGAGGTTAGGTGTTATTGAACAGTGGACACAAGAATCAAAAATTTGTGCTAATTTATTTATTATTTATATATGGACTGTTTCACATCTAGTTAACCACATTGTTTTATTGTGCTTCACTTGAACTGTCGAATTTTTTTCATTTTTGATGCTAGCAACTTGCTTGTACCATGGCCACATGTGGCTTCCATGAACAATTAACATTAGATTTCATATTTTTGGATATCCGGTTACTAACATAGTTGTAATAGTAGGCACGTGAAGAACTAAAAAATCTTCAGAGGTTCTTGTATACATTGAACATGCTTATTTTGTAAGTGAAATTTGGCTTAAGTTTGCTTGTGTTGAGGTTTTATTAGTCTTCATTTCCTGAAGTGAAGTTAATGTTTGGTGGCATATGATTTAACCCATTTCTTTTTAGGAATAATACAGGTAAAGGATGTTTGTGGGTATTTAATTCCCTGCTCTCATGTATTTAGCATTAACATTTGTTTTCATTTTCAATAATGTGTCTTCGTTCACATGGGAACTCTTGGTTTGGTTTGTCGTCAAGGAGGCGTGAAATAACATCAAGGCATGGAAATTATGAAAGTGAGTCAAAAAATTTCTGTTATTTTTAGCTTTCTGGTTCGTGCATATTTCGTCCGTGAATCGCTTAGTGTCGAATAACGCCTTATTTAATGTGACTCATACATAAATATTGATGAACTATTTTTTTTTTAGAACATCAATAAAAGTTTTTCCTAGTGTACATAGTCATAATTACGTCATCAGTCGACTGAATATCATGTGCAATGATTTTCCACTGATTAAATCTAAGTAACTCCGTCTATGTATTTGTAAGCCATCAAACTTCGTGTTCAAATCCCTCATTACTTTTGAAGTACTAATAAAATGCTCGTCTGTTTATAATACTAAGAGATTATCATGTGGCTGATTGAAAAGTGTCTACAGGAAAATCTGCAACTCATTTACTTACAACGACAATCCATAAATGGGTGATAATCAAAACGAGCAAGTTAATCAAACACTTATTAATGTATTGTTTCGTGATTTTATACTTAAGTGTGGAATGAAATAAATATGTCTAGAAATACAGTCACTAACAATACGCACTTGTCCAAGTTGCCACACTTCACGTCAGTACTTAAAAGGCAAGTTAACTAGACGAAAGGCAAAAAAAGTAAAAGCGGTAATGGCATTGCTGATGAGATATGGACTGTAATAAACATAGTCGACAAATTAACTTATGTGACGAGGGGTCTAACTTAATAACCAAATTCAAAATATAGAGGAAGATAAATGCCTTCACTTCACTGAGACCACTGATCTATTTCATGTATAGTCTCTATCGATAACTTATGCGGATATTCGTCCGGCACGCTTTAGACTTATTGGCTGATGCCGTTTATTGTTTTGACTGAACTCAACCGTTTTTCAAAGTTATATGTACCAGCATAACAGATATACGATTTGACCAAACGCCCCTAACAATCTCCAACTACCTTAGTGAAGAGTTCGTGGTTTCCAGGATTTTAGTTTCGATTTTCAAACGACAATCAATTGTAGCATGAAAACAGCAAACTCGTGAAAACCAAGCAGCTTTCAAACTTGACCATAAACTTATTGATCAAATACTTGCTTTCGATATATTTGGGATAGTAGACATATAGGAGTGTACCTACATCCTGTTCACTGTGAAGTGGTTGCTTAGTGGTCAAGGAGTTTAATTTTCAATCACAGTCCTTAATTTGAACTTCGCTCCATATGCCTTGGTTCGGCCGACTGAGTAATATCACCAGCCCCCACTTAGAGTATTACTCATACCTAATTACCTACTGAATGACTTGATGTCCTTAATAATTTTCGATCCTAGGGAAACATCAGATGACGTGGGCTGATAGGTGCTAAAGTAATTTAGATTATCTGTAGATTCACTGAATGTTCATCAGTTGAGGTGGCTTGAACACGTGTTACGTATGCCCAACCACCGACTGCCCTGACGTGCAATGCTTTATGGTGTAGGAGTAGGTTGGAAGAAAGCTAAGGGCGGCCAAACCAGAACGTGGCACAAATCTATAAAGTCACTGACAAGTAGACTGAGCCATGTTGGTAGGTGTAGACTACTTGGTTGGGATCCGCGAAATGATAACAATCGATGGTTAGAGACCTTGAATGACATGGCTCAAAATCGTTTGCAATGGCGAAGGTACATCCACTCTTTGTGTTCTCCAAAATCCTAATCTTCTGAATCCTTCATGTCCCTTTCTTTTTTCTCTTTCCAAATTTATTTCACTGGATTATACCCCTTGAACAACATCTTCAAACCCTAATCTTTCGGATTACTGCTTTACTCTTACTACCTCTACTGCTATGGGATTTGAGTCGACAACTGTATCTCTGTACTAATGTGGTATGGCAACTTGAACTGATGTGCGTACGTACGCACGTGCAGAACCCTTTTAAAATTTCCCATAAAGCATTCTTCTTATTCACTGTTTTGAGAGCGAAACGGTAGCGTTCGAATACGTTCTTTTACCAGAACCCTGAAGATGGATGCTGTGGGTTACATTCGATTACCCTTTACTATTGCCGGTACCAAAAATATCTGGTTACTTTATTTTCTTTCGTTATCGAACCTGGGGGTTGGGTTATTCGTTAATATTTTTGGTCACTTTGTTTGTGGATCGGGTACCAAAAGATGAGGTTTGGCTATAAAGCGTTATGGGAAAGTACGAGTATACGGTTACTTTCGTAACTATTGTATTGTTTACGACAGTAGTTTTTTCTTCTCTGATTCCTCTTTTAGTTGTGTACATTCGGTGCAGGAGCGAAATGACATGGACATCTAAGTACGGTCGGGAAAATGGCTTCGTTCTAGTGCCTCGATTTTCCTTATTTCAGAATTCTGTTAATGGACTAATTCTTTTGGTATTTGTGGTGTCACGGAACCCCTGAGAAATATTGATTAGTCATCGACAGTTTATAGTTTCTGTCGAGAAAAATTTTTGAGGACCATATTTGTAAATTAACCTGTCTCACTTCTAATGCCGTGGTACGGCCGAGAGTGAAGAGGGCCCGCCTTCCCTCTCAAAATGCTCACACAGCCACGCGTATATAGCCTCTGCCAGGAAAGTTCTACTCACTGTCTTCTCTCGGCAGGAGTGTTGTTTACAAAATTGAGAGGACGAAAAGCGAATGTCCGTCGCTTTAACCGGGTTGATGGACACTGCGAGTCCACCTAGGGGAGTTGGAAAACTGTGATTCCAAACCAATCGTGCACATGGACTCCAGTATCCTGAGGGAACAAATGGCGTAGGAATCAATCGTTGGTCATCGGCTACCATGGGAAGTCTGACCAGCCCTAATGGGTTGGTGTCTGACGAAATCTCAACACGGATTCAAAATGCTCGTTTGGCTTTTGCCAACTTACGTCACCTATGGCGAAGACGAGATATCCGTCTATCAATTAAGGGACGAGTATACTGCGCAGCAGTTCGTTCTGTTCTAATTTACGGCTGTGAAACATGACCTTTAAGGGTAGAAGATACTCGTAAGTTACTAATATATGATAACGGATGTCTTGGAAATATTGCTCGTATTTGCTGGGATCACCGAGTGAGTAATAGTGAAGTTAGACGTAGGGTATTAGGGAATGATGGTAAATCAGTTGATGGGGTCATGAATCTGCATCGACTGAGATGGTTGGGCCACGTGTTACGTATGCCTGAACACCGATTACCACGACGCGCAATGTTGACTAGTGTAGGGGATGGTTGGAAGAGAGTTAGGGGCGGCCAAACCAAAACATGGCATCAGTGTTTGAAGTCACTAACTTCTAGTCTGAGCCATGTTGGTAGATGCAGACTACCTGGTTGGGGTCCGTGTGACTATCGTAATAAATGGTTGGAGACTCTGGGTGACATGGCTCAGAATCGATCACAATGGCGTAGATGTATACACTCTTTATCTTTCCTTAAACCTTGAGATTAAAGTTGCTTCATAACTTTTTTCCTTCCTATACTATATCCTTATATACAACCTTTCTTTATATATTACCACCACTAAATTAACTATTTCTATGAATCCGGTGTTGATCTTTTTGTGCTAACGAGTTATGGCAACTTGGTCCGATGCATATATGTGCCTGGTTCTACGTTGTAGCTGACTGACCATGGGACACACAATTAAATGAAATGACAATTTTTTGTGTGGTGCATATATATCTCGTGCCCTCTCGTACCGATATTTGTGTTCAAGTAATAATAATAATCATAACTAAACCTAGCTATTTTCATTAAACCCGGAATATTTTATTCATTGTTTAAAACTCAAGCTTCACTCTGCATTGTTCCGCTCATCTCATATTTGTCAGTTTTAAGTGTGATAAGTATTTTTGTTGTGTCCTGAAGTGAACCTTCAGGATTCTTGACCTTTGGAGTTTATGAGGACCATCCATAAAGTTGTTTGCACGCTAACTAAACCATAGTATACCTGTAATGGTATTTACGATGAACGGCTCAGAATACTCCCATTAAATGATAAGTACTTTCTTAGGCCCGTTACTCCTCATCAAGGATCATAGACCGCCAACCAGAATTCTCCATACAACCCTGTCCTGGACAATACTTTCCAGTTGTTCCTAGTTGCTGCTCATCCTTTATATGTCCGCTTCCTCAGGATTCCAAGTTAGGGCTTGCTTCGTGATTCATTTCAATGATTTACTCAATCTATGTTCTATCCACTTCCAACGCCTTTTCTTAATTTCCTCTTTTGGAAGATGGTTTGTTTTCTCCCATAATAGGTTGTTGCTGACGGCATCCGGTCAACGAATATTGAGTGTCTTGCATAGACAATTGTTTATGAGTACTTGTACCTTTTTGATGATAATTGTAACAGTTCTCTAAGTTTCAGCTCCATAGAGTAAAACTGTCTTGGTGTTCGTATTGAAGATTGTGACTTTGATATTGGTTAACATTCGTTTTGAGTTCTACATGTTCTTCAACTGTAGGAATGTCTTTGCTTTGCCAACCCTTTCCTTTACGTCTGCGTCGGATCCTCCTTGTTCATCGATGACGCTGCCCAGATGAGTGCGTGTAAGTCTCCACCTCTTCCAGAGTTTCTCCATTAATTGTGACTGGGTTGGTGTTCTCCTTGTTGTACTTGAGGATGTTGCTTTTTCCTTTGTGTTTGTTGGGGCCTATTGATGCAGAGACTTCTGCTACACTGGTTGTATTGGCCTGCATTTATTGGTGTGAATGAGACAGAAAGGCTAGGTCATCTGCAAAGTTCAAATCGTCTGGTTGCATCAAAGCTCTCCACTGTGTTCCGTGCTTTCTTGAAATTTGAAGGTCTTCAGAATCCAATTAACTATTAAATGAAAGGGAAAGGGTGAGAGCAAGCAGCCTTACCTGACACAAATCTTCAACTGAAATGCATCTGTCAGTTGTCCTTCATGCAAGGCTTTGCAGTATAGTTAGTCGTGTGAATTCCGGATGATGTTGACGATTTTCTCAACCACTCTTCCTGAGTAGAACGTGGAGCATATTTGCAGTTGGTGGTATATTGTCAAGTCCTACTGTTTTCCCACTCCTTATTTGTCTGATGGCTATCCTGATTTCTCCGATCGTTGGTGAAGTAACAGTCATAGGAAGGTCTGTGTGCGCTGTTTCGACGTTTGGTCAATTCAATGGAGCTGGTCTTTTCAAGAGTTCCTCAAAGTGTTCTACCCATCTGTTTCTCTGTTCTTCAATCTCAGTGATTGGTTTACGTTCTTTGTCTTTGACTTGTCTCTCTGGTTTACCATATTTCCTTGCTAGTTTCTTCGTTGAGTCATATAGTCGTCTCATAACTCCTTCTGTTGCAGCTTTTTCCGCTGTCGTTGCTAGTAATATATTGCTGATTCGACAAATATATGATACTCGCCAAATTGATCATCTTCATAAATATCATCAATTTATGTCGAAAAGTTTTGACTTTGTATTAGGCCTATATATTTGTGGCTGCGCTTGGTTTATTAATTTGTACTTCATGCGTATGAAAACGTAGTTGATTTTTGGCATGCATTTATTTGTATTAATCCAGCTAATGGTGTTGCTTAAAGAACAAATTGATTAAATTTGATTTCTCTATAGCGTGTTAAATGTTAGTCTTATAAAATTTGCCGAGGGTTTGCATTGTTGGCTATGACGACGTGTTTGTGTGATTGCACTGCATAATGTCTGTGAATTGTTAATGACTTACTTTACAATAACCAAATTGATAAGTTTTTTAGGCATTTAAGTTCGACATTAGAAATTTTTGTCTACAATTTGGAATTTCAAGGATTTGTGTGGAATTTATTTTTATTGGCACGGGGATTTGTGGAGATTGTAGTATTTTAACAGTTGAATTCACGAGTCTATGTTAGGTCGACCCTTGGATTCAACTTGTAGGATTTATTTTTATACTTTATTTATTTTTGTACTTCATCTTAAAAAAAACAAGGACAAGGAAAATCAGCATCTGTTTACGCATGGTTACTCATAATGCATAAAGCTGACTAGCTGTTGCGTGTTGGGTTTTAAATATGCTGTTATATCGAATAACTGGTAGATATGGTATTTCGTCAAATTGTGGAGATGAATGATTGTACTTGTGCATGATATGCATTCAACTATTTCGTCTATATCGAAGATCAAGTTCATAAGCACTGAGAAGTGTTCTGTATCTGTGATAACTAACAGACCTTCAAACCTTTCTGTTATCAGTTACATTCCCAGTGAGCGATCAATCAATTTTGAAGTTATGTTGTTGGTTATCCAAGCTGAAAAATGCGGAGTTTTCGAATTTGAAACCCATTGGTTAGAAGTCAAGTGTTTTAGCTACCACTTCATATAAAATCACTAGGACTTTATTCATTGAAGTCAATAATATAGTTCGGAAATTTTATTATTATTATTATTTAAACATAAATATTGGTGCAAGGGGGAACCAGATATATAGGCGCCGCACAAAACTTATTTGATTTGTGTGAGGGCTGTGATACTGCGCAGGTGCCCAAACTGAAGCAGGTAGTTTTTGTAGGCGGCCACACCCGAAACCTTTGACCTAAAGGTCTGACCCACAAGGCAGTGGAGCATCTTAAGGAGATGCAGTCCCATGGTAGCCAGTGACCAACGATTGATTCCTACGCCATTTGTTCCCTCAGGATACTGGAGTCCATGTGCACGATTGGTTTGGAATCACAGTTTTCCAACTCCCCTAGGTGGACTCGCAGTGTCCATCAACCCGGTTAAAGCGACGGACATTCGCTTTTCGTCCTCTCAATTTTGTAAACAACACTCCTGCCGAGAGAAGACAGTGAGTAGAACTTTCCTGGCAGAGGCTATATACGCGTGGCTGTGTGAGCATTTTGAGAGGGAAGGCGAGCCCTCTCCACTCTCGGCCGTACCAGGGCATTTGGGGGCTCGGGGATTCTAGAAGTTCGTGTACGCTACAGAAACCTTTGACCCCGACCTATTCTGTGTCATATTTCCATATTGCCTATGTATATTAACTCACCTACTAAGAAAGCTGTTTGTTGAATCAAGTATGGTGTAACTACAGTAGGTATGAACAACATATAGTAATAAATTATTATGTAAAAATGAGGTTGTGGATTAGCCTTTGTTTAGTTTCTAGACATCAATGTCATTAAAGAGGAATTTTATGATTGAGAATTCCCTTGAACAGCATTTCTGTAGTATCAGCATCACCCATAAATATCTGTTAGTGGACTTTATATAAGTGTTTTATGGTACTTTTCCGTAGCAACAGTGCATTACTATGTTGAAAGTATAATTAAACGGAATCCGATTCGTTGGTAAATTTGCTAAGAGTCATATTTACTGCATTTATAATATTTATACTGAATCAGGTTAAATATTTTCGTTCGTATGATTTGACTTCCATCTCGTCTACTTCATTCGGTAATTCACTGTAGTCATTTCATGCTCAGTTCCTTACCATTTGTTGATTTGGTAAAATGTAGGGAAAAGTTTGTACCAGGATGGTGATTTTAATCTTTCAGTGTTTTCTCCCTTTCTGGCGCTCTGTCTTTTAAGGGCGTATCATTAATAAAGCTGACCTGGAAAACACAGATTTCTACTTAAGTAATTCCTCCTCTATTGTAAGAAGTGAAACTCTGTCGATAGCTGCTAAGTCAATACTTAGCAGCTATCGACAGAGTTTCACTTCTTACAATAGAGGAGGAATTACTTAAGTAAAAATCTGTTTGTTTATACCAGCGTTAAGTTTTAGGTTGCAGCACCTCTTGACGACATAAAAGAATTTTTCATGCCGAAAAATATATGGAGATTATTGATGTGATTTTTCAGTCTTCAAGGAGGTGTATTTGCACGAAAAGTGATTTTAGATACGTCTGTTCTAATCATTAGTTTATGCTATTATAGCTATTATCTCCAAAACCTTCAATATTTTAACTTCATCTACACAACTGAATGCAACTGTCAGTGGCTTATCTATTCAACTTTGAAAATGAGCTCTAAAAATGTTTACGTTGAATCATTTTTTTATATGTACTTCCGTAATAGATATAATGTAGTTTTAAATTAATGAATATTTTACTTTTGTTGTCAATATTCATTTGAATGAATATTATGATATGTGCTCTGTGGGACATCATTTGTATTTGTATATAAATGTAAAGTATCGCTCATGCTTTACTAAGAATAAAAATATCTACAAAACTTTCATGTATCTGCTTGCAACTAATATAATGTGTTTTATCCTCTTAGTTACACCCACTGCTTAAAAGTAGTATTATCATCAAATAAGCTTTTTTCAACTAACCCTAAAAAAGTACCAGTGAAATTGACCCAAGTTATGATCACTTATATAGATGTGAGTAATTACTCAATGACTAATTTTATGATCTTACGTGTACTTGTTTTGCTATTTTAATCATATGTAGGACCTCGTGGACATAGATCTCGTAGTCGGTCCAATTCTCTTCCTATTGACCGTAATTTATTGATGACTTGGGTACGTAAGTGAATTTCGAAGTTATACGCCATAATTTTTCCCGCAGGACTATGACGACTATGTTCAACAAGTTAGCCGTGGTATGCGACCAAACATGTATGGTGAATTGGTAAGTTTTGCCTTGAGTAAAACTTCATGTTTTTTATATCTATGCGTTTGTATAACTTAATTATCATACAATAATCAGCTTTCGGACCAGTTTTTTGTCTTTTCTCTTTGTAATTCTACGCAAGCTCCTTTTTCTGTATTTGAAGTCATTATATTATACTAAAATATTTGGATTATTTGTCGCAATTGTTTTCTAATTGATGGTTAATACTCTGGTATAAATTTGTTTTTTGGTTCTCCGATCCACTGAAGTAATATTAAGTTAGATTTCCCAAGTTCCGACCATCATTTTGTTGGAACCATTATATTTATTAGGAGAATCAAATAAAATTATTAGATGCCGTGAAGAAATCTCAACAATGTTGTGCACCGCTGAGGAGTCCCATACTTGTATGACACGGCCGTCTAGTGCTTCCAGTTTTTCAATAGTGATCTAGCTTAGATCGACTCATGAATTCAACTATTAAAAAAACTTGAGTCTGTCAAATATTCTAGGCACCAAAGTTCATGGGTTATTATTTGTTAGTAGCCAGACCGACAGTTGCTGCTACTTTGACGTGGTGGTCGGGCTTACCTATCGTGATGAACTAGTCGAGCTATACTGGCTAGAAAAATCGTTCCTCTAGGTCCTACCATGCCAGGCAGGTCGGTTGAAAAGCGGTAAGACTAAAGGCAGCAAACCCAAGGTCCGAAGGCGAAGTCGTACTGCTGACTGTACAGAGGTGTGATGGCAGCAAGGTGTTTCCTTCAGACAACCAGCATAACGGTGATGCTGCCCGATGCGACCCTGAAACTGCACATCTCGCCTTATCCACGGATATCCGTCTCCGGCGGTAAGGTCCCAACAAGCACGGAGCTAACACAAAAATTACCCACGAAAAGGTCGTGTGTGAGCGACCTCAAGCTGTTGTCCCTTGGATACTGCGGTCACGCTCTCAAGTCACTAAGACCACTTCTAATTCAATTTCCTTTTCAGGTACCTCTAGAAAAACCCTTCCACGGTGTGGGCAACCGGGAAGTGATAACTGCCCTCATACCTCTAACAGCACTCAAGATCACTGTATTCATAATCAATATCTTTCTTCAATTCTTATTATTCCTCCCACCTCGACTTTCAAAACTAAACTTCCTCTCTCGGCTTCCATCGCAAGTGTCATCGTGACCAACGATTCCAGTGCGCGAAATACTGTCCCAGATCTACTAAAACTTCGCTCCGAATTACACATTGAAGTCTTCAACGTATGTACCCCATGCCAAATCGGCCAACAAACCTCCTTGGATCAGACCCTATAATCTCATACGATTGACGTATGCAGTGTCTCCGAAACACACATATAAGATCCTAGAGTGGTCATTCACTTGACCTCACCCCGCCAAAACGAGGAGCTGACGAGATACACTCTCTGTTTATCTGGCAACCCGATGTCTAGTTCTCGTGGATTGACAGGTGCAAGGATAGCATTAAGTACGAGAGTAGAACAAGCACTGTTAGAATGGATCCCCGTTAACAGTCGCCTATGTGCTGCTCGGCTTAACAGCTCCTTAAGAACTCGGAAGGGTAAGAACACATATCGTTGCCTCTTCGTCGTTTCTGCCTACGCTCTCACTGACTGCAGCCCGGATGAAGTGAAAAATGGCTTACAGAAAGCTTTCTGAACTTCATAAAGCTGAACTTTCAGACGTAGTACTCGTAGCAGGTGATTTTAACGCCTAAGTAGGTAGCTTAAACCAAACAGAAATACATTTAGGCGGGTATTTTAGTATTCCAGCCCCACAAACAGATAATGGTGACCATCTGTTGCCACTGTGCTCAAATATTCGTTTATTTTTAGCAAACACTAATTTTAAGCATAAGGAGAGACATCGTCCAACATGGCGACCCCTGCACCAAACCAACGATAAACTCAAATAGACCATATTTCCACCAGTTATCGTTGGCGAGGCTCGTTAGAAGATTGTCTTCCGTACTAGAATACATGTTTAGACTGATCATGGTTTTATACGGGCACGCATTTGCTTGTGCCTCACCAGACGCAGAAAAACTACACTAATAAGACCCATTAGAATCGAACTGAGGGACGAGAAAGCCAAAAGTGAGTTCCAGGAACAACTGATTTCACATTTATGCAGTTCTGAAAACGAGGCTGACCCAGGTGTTGCTTGGAAAGATATAAGAACAACTGTGGAAACAGTAACGTCTATTAGTTACAAAAAACCAATGGATTTCTTATAAGTCTATCACACTGATGGATTCTCGTGAACTCATCCCATCAGGCTCTGAACAGGATGAAGAGCGAAAGCAAATCAGATCTAGGTTAACCAGAAGTCTACAGAATGATCGTGAGTAGTGGTGGGTGACGAAAACAAAAGAGATGGAGAAAGTGGTGATTGTGTGTAATGCCAAAAAACTTTCCAGACTATTAAAAGAAACTGGAAATAAGAAGTTAATTGTAAGCGAGACAAACTCGGAAAAAGATGAGACTCTTATCTGCTCTCAGCCCAGACGTTTAGAACGATGAGCAAAACACTTAAAGTAGCAGTTCAGCTGACCTTCAGTTATTATTATTATTATTATTATTATTATTATTATTATTATTATTATTATTATTATTATTATTATTATTATTATTATTATTATTATTAGCTTGATTCAATATTATATTATTTGGTACAAAATCGAATTCTCAGCATAAAGTATTTCAACATATTTACGTTTCTTATTTCTTCGTTGCTCCTGATGATAAACATTCAGTGATCGCCAGTTGGATGTCAGCAGTTCAGTCAATCGACATATGAATAATGTATATTCTTTTTGCTGCATGTTCCCAGCAAACACGACATCTCTGATTAGACCTTTTCTAACTTTTACAGCGAAAGGTTGTACAGTTTTCAGAAACGCACCGGAATAGGTTGTGTGCTTAATAGCCATAATGATGTATTAAAACAAACAATATTAGATAACTTGTTGAAATATATAGATGACGGGAAACAGGTAGCCCAGATGTTTAAGCAACTACAACTACCCACCCTTCTCAAACAGTCTAGTGAGAGCATATGGCTAACTGTCATCTGACTTTGCAACCCCAAGTGGTGTCCGGCAAGGCTGTCCGCTATCTCCACTTTGGTTTAATTTCGTTATAGACCTAATGTTAGAAATAACATTTTCGTCGACTAAATTTTCAGGAATTGGTCTACCAGGAGGTTCGCTTATTAACTTAGAATACAAAGATGACATAGTCCTGTTTAGTTAATACACCGATAAAATACAGTCTCTTGGCAGTACTGAGCAACAGTGACAGGATGTTTGGGATTCGTTTATTTTCGTCTGAATACAAGTTGTCGCTACAGTGCTGGCCTGCATCAACACCTGAACTAAGGATAAAGAATGGAGTGGTCAGATGCGTCTACAACTTCATTTATCTTGGAAGTGTGATCAATCCTAATCGGTTGGTGTCTGACGAAATCTGTCCATGGATTTAAGAAGCTCGTTTGGTTTTTGCCAACTCCCGTCACCCGTATCGAAGGCGAGATATCCGTCTCAATAAAAGGACGAGTATGCTGGGTAGTAGTTCGTTCTGTTTCGCTTTACGGCTGCGAAACGTGACCATTCATAGTAGAAGGTACTCGTAAGTTACTAATATATGATAACGGATGTCTTGGAAATATTGCTCGTATTTGCTGTGTTCACCGAGTAAGTAATAGTGAAGTTGGACGTAGAGTATTAGGGAATGATGGTAGATCAGTTGATGAGGTTTTAAATCTGCATCGACTGAGATGATTGGGCCACCGATTACCAACGCTGACTAGTGTTAGAGATGGTTGGAAGAGAGTTGGGGGCGGCCAAACCGAAACGTTGCATCAGTCCTTGAAATCACTAGTCTCTGAGCCATGTTGGTAAATGCAGACTATTTGGTTGGAGTCTGTGCGGCTATCGTAACCATTGGTTGGAAACTCTGTGTGACATGGCTCAGAATCGATCACGATGGCGTAGGTTTATACACTCTTTATCTTCCCTTAAACCGTGAAATTAAAACTACTTTATACCTTTCTTTCTACGGATTAATTCTTTCTCTCTGTATCATATCCTTATATGAAATGTTAATTTTTTTACTTCCATTGAGGTAACTGCGTCTATGAATTCGGTTTTTATTTTGTAGGGAAGTCGAGTTGCCGGTTCAAGTGCTTATTCACACATTTCCCAAAGTCATGAAAATGATCTGAAAGTTAGTTTTTTACTAATTACTTGTTCCGTATATATTATGCTTTAAATTGTATTATTTTCTTCATGTTGTTAACAGTTGAATTGTAATTTTACGTACTTCTCTTTTCCATATTTTTTTTCAGTATGAAGAAAAAGTAGATGCGTTTTTACGTGGTATTGGATCACGCCCAAAAGTTGCAGGACATGATCATCACTACTCACGCAGTCCTAGCCGTAGCTGTTCATATAGTCCACCTCCACCTCATCCCCACAACCGTCGTCGTGAATATTGCAGGGGTTCCTCATCCTACTCCAGATCCAGGTCTCCTTCCGGACCAGGCATACTTTTGTCTAAGGTTCGACGTGGAGAGATAGATCCTGATGCTTATCGTCACCGCCCACCATCTCAATATTTATCCCCTCGTCGGAGAGACCATACTTGTTCCCACAGCCGCTCTCCTGCAAGCTTCGGTCGTGAGCTTCCAGCACAGTGGAGAAAGCCTTCACAGGCTTCCGTAGCTCATTCAACTGGAAGTAGACGACACCAGCAAATAGAGGGGCGAGTTCCTTCACACCAAGCACGATCCCCTCGTGTTGTCTCGAGTGGAGGGTCACGAACGTACACTGCGAGCAGTCGTCATCACAAATAGCTGGTTTATGTAAGTATTCCTCTATGCTGGCGTGTGACACTATACTACTTATGTACGTTATTTGCATTCTGTTTAACTTTTAGAAGTTTTCTTGCCTTCCAATTGTCTTGCTTTTTGAAACTAACATAAACGTCTAAGTGTGACAAAAAGCCGTGCCTGTTGATGTGAACTACAATACGGTTTATTGTAGAAGGAGTGCCAACTATTTAGATTTACTTGCTTTTTATTTGTGTCATTTACTTAGACATATACATTCTCTATTTATCCAGTCGTTCGCCTAGATGAACCTGTTGCTTACTGTAACATCGACAAACACTAATTATGTTACTGAGTGTTACGCTGAGTTTTGCAAGTCCAATAACAGTAGTGTTGATAAAAAGTATATTTTTGATAAGATTATGAAAATTTATGTCGTTTCTATTAAATGGTAGGTAGACTACGACTCATACCTGGTAGCTTTTCAGTCTCCGCATATACTTATCTATCGTATGCAATCTCAGTACTGCCCCCCTTCAATGTTGATTGAGAATGATTACTAACCTAAAGTGAAACATAATAAAGCAAATTTTTTATTCATTTACCTTCAAAAGTAAAGTACAGCATATATTATTCTGATCACGTCGACCGTTCTGATATCAAAAAGATCACTATATCATTAGTGAAGGAGGGGGTAATATGGTTTACAGTATTGAATTTTTCAACCACTTACCATTAATTTGTGATGACCTTGGGAACTGTTTAAAGCAAATGTTCACCGCTTGGCAAAATAACATGAGGACGGTCATATGTATTCTTGTTTTTCCTCGTAGTTTTGACTTTTATGCTTGATATAGTTTCGTGTTATATTTATTCTTCGAACAAGGTGGTTCTTTTCCAGTTGATTGGTAAGAAGATTAAACAATAAATAGATATCCACCACTCCAGTAGATTTTAAGCTGTCACTTAATGTAACACTTGATCAAAATTATTTCCTTCATCTCGACCAGGTAATTTACCTACCTACTGTCATTGACTTCATAGACTAATCCAACGTTTTAGTTTGGTTAAGTAATAGCTTTCTTGCCATCTAGTATTATGCAAACTAGCATTCCTATTCTGTATTATACATGTGTCAGTCAGTTCAATAGATGGAAATGTGCAGCCTCGTCAACCGGTTCGGCATCTTTTCTTAGAACCTCACGTTTAACCGCAGCATAATTTACTGAATTATTTCACCATATCCGAGAAAGTATTAAAATGCGTCTCCTACCTTCAAAGGGTATGTTTTACAGTCAAGTTAAAAATGATTAAATTGCTGCTCTCCTCCCCTTTGATGTCCAAACAAGTGTCTCCTACGTCACAGGTGTTGGCAGAAACCAGACAGGGTTTTTCTATCCGTGCTACAATTATAACATTTTCCAACCTACTGGGCTTAATGAAACTTCCAAGTTAAGTAAAACTGTCAGTGGATTTCTTAAGTGCGATTCTTCCAGACAGGTATATCATGCGCATAGTATATAAGCAAATGAGTGAATCAATCACGAAAACGTCAAACCTGTGAAGTGTTAACTCCAAAAATCTTTGTAAGAAAATCAAATAAAAGTGGGAGAAGTGTGCAGCACTGACTAGTACTACTTATCGCAGCCAATTTAAATGATACTTCACTACAACCTTTAAGTCTGTCAGCTATTTTTGATTAAACGGATTTACGTATGTTGATGTACTCCAAAATGATCTTTCAATTACAGACTTAATCATAAAGCCTGTCGATCAATTGAGTCAAATACTTGCACGTCGCCAATTAATACATTCATGCACTAAGTTACCATTTTGCAACTCCAACTTTAATACGTTAAACGAGACTACCTTAGTTATTCTTTTCCCGTTGGCTAGCTAGTGCGAAAAGTCCAGTTTTTGTATAGAAGTTTTGTTGATCGAGACTCCGGAAGAATTGGCTTCTTATGGAATAAAATGTTATGCTTTTGTAAGGATTGGTAGCATAAAATAACTGTCGGAGGATGTTAGTTTATTAGTCACCAACTTGATTAATCAAAACATAAATATTGGGACTGATTCTTAAGTATGGTGTCACTTACACGGAGTGATGTCGGATCCTTCTACTGCAACACTAATAAGCAGGATGGCCGTCTGTAAGTGAACTAGACGAATGCTACCTTTACCACCAAACGAAACGTCCGTATTTCAGTTTCGGAATCACAAGTACAGTTAAGAATCGGTATGTTTGTGTTCTAGAATGCCATCAGGTGAAGTTATTATCTTTACACCGACCCTATTGTCCGAAACTTTTCGGACTTTTTGTTTATGAGCTCCAGTTGAACGTCGTTTGATTATATAGGTTAATTTCTTTCTAGTTGTCACGAATAAATTTTATTCTCATGTACTGGGAGAGCCGTGATCAAGACCAATAAATTGTGACTGCTTCTAGCTCCTGGACTGTATTCAAAAATTAGTAATTTTTAATCATATCAAACTAATATCTACAAAATCTTTTGTAGTTAACCTTACTATTTACACTACCTCTTCGCTCTCCCCTGACTCAAGTTCGTTGCGTTTTTTCCAATCTTGATAGGAGTCGAGGTATTAAGTTAATTTCTTTTCAAGATTGTTATACTATGGGCGGTCGAACTGTCTCTCATAACATCCTGCCCGTCATCCCAATCATCTGCTTTAGAATTAAATCATGATATCATCTTCTGTCAGCCACTCACTTTTCAACCAGCAAGTTACAAGTTCAAACTATCATCAAGTTTGGTTTGGACAGCCGAGCAATAGCCTCACACTAACAGTGTGATTTGAACCGCACATAGCGAATGAATTACATTTGACACTTGTAACTTTTTGTAACATTTTCACTATGGATATGTTGATATCTGTCTTTTTGATGTGTAAACATATCTAACACTACCTATCACCGATTCTTTTCTTATTACCTTTCCTGTTTGCGTTTCCTAATTATTGTATAAATCTTCACTCAATTATGCTTGAGCCAGCTTCGCTGCCAGTGATGCTCAGATCACATCGACATTCATCATTTTAGTAGGTGCTTCTAAAATCCACTGATGTTTCCCGATCTGTTTTAAGTTGCTAATATATCGTTGCCGTGTTCCCAACTATCTGAACGTTGTCGTTCCGAGCTACTTCAGGATGAATATATAAAGACAAGGGTCTGATTGTGAACAAGATAAGCATATCCAGTGTCGGGTGTGCTTGAATTTGGCATTCTTCAGTTAACCACATAGCAGTAGGATCTTCTTGAGGGTCCGTGAACGGAAACTGATTTGTTTTGAAGGTTTTACTGACCGGAGAGTATGGATACAGCGCATGGAACGAGTTCTCAAAGGTGATTACGCATAGCATTTTCAGTCTTATCTTTTAGTGTGGTATTAATGCAGTCAAAATTTTTGCCTAACAGCATGGAGTGGCAAGTGGAAAAGTAAATCAGACACCTAACATTTAGGTACTTGTACTAGATTTTTATTCGCTTATCTTGTTTTGTCCCAATGTGACTGGTTTTTTCTTTCCCTTTTAGGTTTATTCAGATGATCGTCGCTCTCTGATACTTCTCGTATGTTTTAGTTCTTGTACAGACTTCTAAGTTAAATAAACGTCGATATGCTCAGATTCTTCGCTGTTTTATTTTTAAGTAACTCTGGTTCAAACACCTAATACCTTTATCTCCACTTTTGGACTAGTAACACGACACTATTTGAAGATGTCATTAGCCGAACATTAAACTACAGTCCGATTGGAATATTTTCCCCTTGCTATGCAAATAGAGTCACAGTTGTTGAACTAAACACAAAATAATGAAGTATATGATCTTCATCACTTGTAGATAGCATCAATAAGTTTTTCAACGAATATTTCTTCGTAAGTTAGGCGAGCTTTACAAGGAAAATTAGTTTTGCTTTAAGTGTACTAAACAAATGATGTTTTGATTCTTCAGGACGTACCGAATTGTCTTCTTCACAACCGCTTGACCGAAGAGTGAATGACCGTACACCACACCCCATAATACCGGTGTAAATACTCCTATATATATGGTTTAATTACTGAATGACATAAGGAGAAATAGCTGCTCGACTTTAGGTCAGATTTTCTGTGAGTTTTAAAACGCAATAATTTTGGAAACAAAGTAGCTCATTAATCTGACATCAGTTGTATATTTCGCTGGAATTTTTTATGTTTGTCAAGCATCTTTTCATTGCAAGTTTCTCTTTTTTCTTAGTTAGTGTTTTGAGTACTGGTATTGTTACAGTGGTTGCATCTAATAACCGAATTGCCCTCCAGATTACCAGAAATTAATTTAATATCATCCTATGCAAATAAATATTCCTCATATGGGAGTTGCAGTTAGGAATCTTATCGTCGAACTCTTACTCTTCAAATCTGTAACTTTAGGTCACAGTCTTGAACTTCCGGAGTTTAGTCACTTACACTTTAAGCTGTAACCGGACTACAGAATCGGACCTTGCTCGTCCAAAACAGATCCGGTTGTCATGTAACAGTCCCGGCAACTCGTGTCCAGTAAACTAAACAGGTGTGTTATATCACTAAGCATTCCACTTCCAGAAACCTCAATATTTATTTAAAAACCCCGTCTGGACAATAAGAAATCCATGGTACATAGAATATGTCGAGTTATGCAAAATTAAGGTGAAGTTACTGTGTGAGACAATATTTGTTTATCTATGTCCGAGTTCTTGTACGTCAAAGAATGATCTTTCTAGTTTTTCGTATTCTGAAGGATATAAGCACGACCTTACTCCTGAGTTCAGAAAATATACACATGAACTTGTAGAACGATCTAGTATTACCGACTGCCGACAAGTCCATTTGGGCACATCACGAAGCATATTTATTATCAAGACAACAGGAGACAAATACTGTCGAGTCCTCCGTAGGTTGTTCTCTCTTACCGTCATCGCAACCAAACCCATCTGATGGTCAGAATAGTGGATTCGAAACTTCTCTATTTACGTCAAAACAAGGGAATCATTAGTTCATACAAGTATCACATCCGTCACGACTTAAATTCGAGTCTAAATTTCTGTAACCGATTGTACCTCTTCTTGAGTTCAATCTGTCTGTCTGAGTGTATTGGATGAAGACTCTGTATTATCGAAAATGTACTCATTAGTATTAGAATTAACAACCGAAATTGGAACAGACTCGTCTGGATGCTGGAAGTGTATTTCATCAACATGTCGTTTGTGTATACTTAAGTCATTGATATTGATGTGTGGGCAAGAATGACAATGATTGGTTGTCTTGATGAGTCAGACATTAGATAGGATGACAGGTGTTATATATATTCCCCTATCCTTATTATGTATGGACTGTTATTGATTGACTGTTCCTTGTGTTGGATTTTGGTGTGGAAATATATTGACATTGTAGTCAGGCTAATCTCGTGTTCTTGATCTGAGTTGTGTTGAAGTCCTGTAGAATAGACACTGGGTGAGAATCTAGTGTAGATATTCGTCTAAGGTAAATTAACGTCCCACATACGTGTAGAAAGTGAAAGGACTGTTATAACAAGTATTCTCTTCTCCGTTTACAACAGATATTTATAACTCTCACTATAGATTTCCAGACATTCGTCACCGCAACCCCCTTTGTTGGTAGAAGATCACTACCAAACTAATATGTAACTTCTGCAGATTTCACACACATCGTATTTGAATGGAGAACTCTTCTTCTTAGTGGCTTTGATGCAGTCTTTTTCATTACGGAATTTTTAGTATATGTAATACTGCAGCATAAAGGTACCTACTCCCCTCTCCAGTTCATTAAATGTATTCTCTCTTTAAGTTTATAACAATTGGCGACGGTGATTAAAACGGATCTACGCTTACATATGTAGTTAAAGTGAATTTTATAACGAAATGGATGATCTGAAAACCTTACTACAACAGCAAAATGCTCTTATCGAATTATTAGTCAATATCCTCAAAAACGAATGTGTCTAATTCCACTATGACTCCGGATTCTATTGCAAATTCAATAACTGAACTAAGATTTGATCCAGAAAGTGGAGTTACTTTTGAGGCATGGTTTAAACGCCATGAGGATTTGTTTATTAATGAATGTAAAGAGTGGGAAGGAAGTTCAAAATTAAGATTATTACGAAAGCTCGGTGTGTCCGAACATGAAAAATTCTGTTATTTTATCCTCCCAAAGAAGCCAACCGACATAACGTTTAAAGGAACAGTTGAATGACTGACACGTATATTTGGAGAACGGTCATCAATTTTTCACACTACATACCAGTGTCATCAACTTGTAAAAAAAATGTACAGGACGACTATGTAACGTATGCAAGTATCGTTAACCGGGAATGTGAACGGTTCCGTTTACAAGAAATGTCCTCAGATCAGATCAAGTGCCTTATTTTTGTATGTGGATTACAATCTTCAGTAGATGCAGATATTAGAACACGGATTCTAGCGAGAATCGAACAAGATCCTAATATCAGTCTACAATCAGTATCCGAAGATTGTCAAAGAATGGTTAATTTGAAGCATGACACGAATCTCATAGAAAGGAACAGCGAACACGTGGGAATTAATACTTTACGTAAATCTTTTGATGGAAATAAAGATTCGAACTCCCAGAAAATCCCGAATCGAGTGAAACACAAAACGTCTTGTTGGCGATGTGGTAAGTGTCATTCTGCCAATGTTCGTTACTTTAAAAAACGAGTATGCTTTCAATGTGGTCGATTTGGAGTTCGGGTAGTTGCAGGCTTTCATGCAATTTCTAGAAGACTTGCCATACTGGTTATGATACCAGCACCAGTCGGGGTTATCTGACTCTCGTGGTCCAGAGACAGATCGCCTGCTTGAAACGCTTCTACGTGGGGTTCTTGGCCGTCTACGGTCATTTCGAAATCGAAAATGTTGTGTGAGTGTATGACATAGTTCAGGTTTTTCCTTGACTGAAAAGACCTCAGCGTTAGTAGACTTCGTTATTTCTAAGATTCGGTCGACAGATGCAGCTAGTTCATGTACGGCGTTGTTTTGAAACGAGGCGAGAATCGCTTGCACCTGTTGCAGAAGTTTAGATAAGAAGAGCTGTTTGAATAGGCCATCTTTGAAAGTTCCTTGACCTATCACCTCTCATCCTTAACAACATGTCCGTCGCAGAACGATGTTGCAGGTCGATATCATCAAGGAGTTCGTCTTAACTTTGTCGATCAGTTAGATCTCCCCATTTCAGAATGGACTTTTTTAGGGTTTCGTAAGGTTCCGAATCATCACCAATAAACATACTAGGTGTGATGTACCTGTTGAATTCGCGCGGTAGTGCCTTAACAACCGCGATTAGCTGTGTACGTGATCCCGTGCTTGCAAAAGTCAGCATCTGCGTAGCATAACCACGCTTCGACATTGTCCGGACAAAAAGGCGTTAACTGATCCGAGGTTGGGGGAATAGTCTTTAATTTAAATACTTTGGTGTCTGTTCCGTCATTGTGAAAAATCAAGTATTATGATGAACGCAAAATAAATAATTAAAGTAGTGCATTTACATTCGCGAAGAATTGTGCGCGTGAATTAGTCATTCAGTGCTTATGGAGATCAGCATCTGCGTAGCAGAACCAGGCCTCAGTTTTGTCTGGTCATAAGGGCATTAATTAAAATGAAGATGGGGAAATAGTCTTAAGCTTGAGTACTTCGGATTTGTGTTCCGTCAAGGTGAAAAATCATCAATGAACGAAGAAAGAAAATATATCGAAAAACTCGGAAAAAAAATAACACAATGTGTAAAAGTTAAAATAAAGCAATGATTAATGAAATTCTAAAAAGGAACAGACTCTCAGTTTATTAAGAATTTTTCCTGAGACGGTTGCTAGTCACGGAATCTAGGTACAGCACGTTCGGTAGGGAACTCCTAGTTATGCATTGTGTTGTACGGTATTTCCAACATTCCATCGAAGGGATAGAATTCATGCTTTTTACCGACCATAAACCTCTTAACCTCTCTTTAAGTTCATCTTCAGATAAGTACTCACACCACGAGTATCGACAACTGGACTACATTTCACATTTTACTTCAGATATTCAACACATTTCTGGAGCAAACAATGTAGTCACAGACGCCTTGTCTCGTATAAGTTCATTGAACAGTTTCCAAGGAATCGACCTTCTTAAACTCGCCTAGCTTCCAAAAGAAGACACTGATCTTCAGCAAGAGTTATCCTCGACAAATCTTAAACTACGTATCAAGCAGATGGGAACAGGTTAGGAAACCTTACTATGTGACACGTCTACAGGTGGGGATCGACCAGTCGTTCCAAAACATTATCGGCGCAACGTCTTCAATACGTTGCACAATCTTTCTCATTCAGATATTTGTGCATCCATCAAGCTCATGGCAGAACGCTTTTGCTGGCCTGGTATGAATAAAGACGTGAGGGAATTGGTACGCTCCTGTGTAAACTGCCAGAAATCTAAGGTGATTAAATACAAAAAATGTCCTTCAGGCTCTTTCAAAACGCCTGATGCTCGTTTCGACCATGTTCATCTAGATTTGGTAGGATCCTTACCCGATTCAAATGGATACTCATATCTCTTAACATGCGTAGACCGTTTTACTCGATGGCCAGAAGCAGTACCGA